TCTAATGTAGTTTAATTTGTTCAGTTCATCGTGTCAAGCATGAACTGGTCAAAATGCATTGAAAAATGCTATTATTGGTAGCTTTTCATTTCGTACTAAAAATTGAAAACGACAACTTTAATGAATTTATAATTTGTAAATTTATAATTATTTTTTCCCTTTAAATTAATTTATTATGTGGTTAAAGGACAATAAGTATTTCGTTTCCTAAAACTTGTCACACTGTCATTTGTTGGATTTTAATTTAATTTAATTAATCGTATCCTAAAAGCATGGATTAAGGGAACCAATGACGCAAAAGCGTGTTTGTCCTTTTTCTACCAATAACTTATAGCTGCCTCACGATTAGTGGACAACAAATTGATAAATCTTTACCGATTTGGAGTATATTAACCAGTGTGTTAGTGGAAATTATTAATTATACAATATTTGAATTTTTTAATATTTTATTTTTCAAACTTCTACAAGTGTGAAAATTGAAATCATTCTTGGCAGCTTCTGAAAAGTTGGTCAAAAAAAAAAAAAAAAAAATGAGCCCGAGTAGTAATGTTCAAAAAAAAAAAAAAAAAAAGAAGAATTTGACCCATAAACACTTTTACACCTTAAGATGGTCAAAAAAAATTATTTTGTCAAAACTAAAAGGTGATACATGCTTAGCCATGCAAATTATACAGAACAATAAAGAATGAGATTTTAATTTTTTAATTGATATTGATTGATATATTCATGTTCGCGTAAGCACAACATAATAACAGTCTGTCTTACAGAATAAATAAAAAGAAATAAATTTACAAACATATGAGGTGCAAATCATGAAAATAAGAGAATACAAATTCAAATAAAAAATGATTGAATAAAAGAAAATTGTTAAAGTTTTTAATTCTCATAATATTAATTAAAAACAAAAGGTGAAAGAGTGAACACTTGATAAAAAGCGAGCATAAAGATACTGTTACAAGAAACTTTAGACAACATTATTATGGATTGTTGCAAATGTCTTTACAAATTATACTAAAACCTAAACTTTTGGCATGGAATGAATCCCTATAATATGGACATTAGGACCAACAACCCATATTGATATATTTTCAGTCCTAATCTGGAAAATTAGTCAGGCTCTCTAATATAATTCTTTACAAGTTCCTAGGTGTGGAATAATCACTTTAAAGTAGGACCCATAAATTAAAATGTCCTGAATTCCATGTATGTATAGTTGTATATACATATATATTGCAACATGTATTATACTAAGTTATCTTGAAAATGATTTTGCTGTTTGTACATAAAAATGGTATATTAGTGATTATCGAAAATGATGTGGAGGGAAAATATAAGATGAAACAGTTGACTATATTTTAAATTAATAATATTATAGTGTCATGCTAATATTATGTAATTCCTTATATAAATTTTGATATACAGATAACAAAGTTTTCTTGAAAATTATAAATAATTTTCTAATTATCTTTGACCCCACCTCACCCAAGCCCACTCAACCCATACCCCTCCTCATGGTATTTCTTGACACTGAATGAATGATTGGATTAGCATTAAAATATGGTGACAAAATGGGTAAAAATGCTGACTCTTAAGCATTGACTAGGTATTTAAGAAAGTGATGTTTCTCAAGGCAAAAACAAAGACCACGACTTTCAACCAATCAACCACATATTTTGGGCTTGAACAAGTCCAAATCAAGAAACTTCCTCCAAATCATGATTAAATGAATGTAGTAATATTTTCAATAAATTTCTCAAAAGTAATTACATTTTTCATTTTTTCCGTTTATGGGTAAAGATAGACTCGATCCCACTCCCACCAAACCATTTTATGGGTACATCTTGGAAATTTCCCTTCATGGCAAACATCGGTCGAAAATAATGTACAAAATGAAGTATAAAATTTGCACTTACCTTTTTTTATTTAATTCGGTCTATATTGTTTTTAAAACTATGTTTCGTTCAATAAATTATTTTGAAATTTGTCTTCTATAATTCTGTCAAGTAAGCGATATATAAATAGAGTAATACTATTTGCAGTCGCTTACTGTCATAGTCGCTCTACATGAGATACATGTGAATGTTAGTGATTTGATGCATTAATGTGGTAAATTTTTTTTTTTGTTTTAGCATGAAATCATTAATTGCTACATGTATGTTACGTGAGACGATTGCAATAGTGAGCTACTGCAAATAACATTATTCTATAAATATAGCATACCGGTCGTATCTTGAATATATCTTTTAGGACTCTTGGTTGTCAGTTTACCTTTGAGTTTAATGCAAGCATAAATTCCAGCTATAATGAAATCTGTTGGAATAAATTGTCATAGAAGCATCAAGGTACATCTGGGCCCATTCGACTAAAGCCTTTTTTAATCAACTGGGCCCATTGGGCTAATCTCTGTTCTTCGTACATGTACTTCAGTTAAAATTAGGCATCAATATTAAAACTAATAATAATTCTATATAGTTTGACTAGCTTATAATTTAAAGAATGATGCTATATGTACATCCTACTTTACCACTTGATTTACATCTTTGACACTTGACAATATCTCAATTAATTTTAATACAACCATTAAAAAATTGTTACCTATTCAAGGTGTAAAACATGATGTACAAGTAATTTAATTCAATTTTAAAATAACTTAGTAAAACATGAGCTTAATTAACTGATTAGTGTACGACTGATTCGATGATTAGGCCTCTGTGCAAACTTATCCTTCATTAGTTATTTTTATGATGGAATTAACTATATGTTTGGTTTCATTCCATTTTGCTAAAATTTTACTTTTCAAGAAACGAGTGAAGGAAAAGTAGGTAGATCATACAATATGTGTAGTTAAAATTAATGTTTGACTTTAAAAAGAAATTTTTTAACAAAATAGAATGAAATCCAAACAGTCGACCAAACAATATTTATGTAGCATATGCACTTTGGCCTTGGATCATGAAAAAACATGACTATAAATAGGTCAATAAGGATTAAGATCAATCATGAGAGATGGACTTTCTTCTTCCTTCACAAGCTCTTTTTGGTCACATTCGAACGCTAATACTTTCTTCAGACTGGTACGCGTCAAATTTCTCTTGCAAGAATGCTCTGTCGTAGGTGTAGGGTGATCGTATTCATCGATATATGTTACCTTAAACTTGTTTTTGTCGTCTAAGGTTTTCTGAACATGTTTCTTGGCAAGACAATTTATTGGAATTTGTTGTTGAAAATCGTGTGAATGGATGAGTTGAATTGAAGAAGAAATGAAAAACGAAAGGGGTGGGGGTGCAGCCACATGAGGCCCTTCAGAGATTTGAAGGGTGGCCACGGGCATATCCATGCGATCGCATGGCTATAGCCCATGTGGTATAGAAAAATGACCGTTGGGTTGGTTTTTGATCCTTTTTCATTTAAGATTAGTGGCTTTTCATCCTTTTTTTGCACAATTTCGTGGGAACTTGTTTAAGCATATAAAAAGGTGATTCAAGTGCAAGAAAATTAAAATTGAATTCTATCCCCATTATTCATCTAAAAAAGGAAAGATATTATCACATATTCAGAGTCTAAATTTTCGCTTGTTTACTTTTGCTTTTTAGTATTTTTTATAAAATGCTTGTTTAATCCTACGACCTATTTGTCGAAAATCCTTAGAAGTATTGAAAAGAAGACAAATAACATTTGAGAACAGCGAGATTAATTTCGTGTTTTAGCTTTCATTGATAATTTTTGTATCATTTTCCTTGTGTCGTGATTCATTTTTCTTCTCCATTGCCATATTTTTCAACACAATTTGTACTAATATTGTTGCATTTGTAACAAGATTCTGATTGTGACGAGCTCTTGAGACAGCTCTGGCTAGATATTTGCCAATCCCATGGATCATAATCCTCTACTAGATACCTGAAACATCAACCATTTTTTTAGTTTCTTCTTTCTCTTTTGATTATCAGATGGAATAGCGCTATCCTTTTCTTCTTTGATTATGGGCTTCAGTTCCGTACATGGTTGAGGGTTTTTCCAAGACTGCGAAGTAAAAGTGATGAAGCGATGGAAAACCTCGCATTGAAAAGAAGGCAAATAACATTTGAAAACAGTGAGATTAATTTCGTGTTCTAGTCTTTGTTGATAATTTTTATATTCTTTTCCTTGTCATGATTCATTTTTCTTCTCCATGGCCATATTTTTCAACACAATTTGTACTAATATTGTTGTATTTGTAATAAGATTCTCATTCTGACGAGCTCTTGAGACGCTTTTGGCTGGATATTTGCCCATCCCATGGATCATAATCCTCTACTAGATAGTTACCTGAAAAATGAACCACTTTTTTTAGTTTCTTCTCTCTTTTGATCAGATGGAATAGCACTATCCTTTTCTTCTTTGATTATGGGCTTCAGTTCCGTACATGATTGAGGGTTTTTCCAGGACTCCGAAGTAAAAGTGATGAAGCGATGAAAAACCTCGTATAATCACTACTAAGAAAAGGAGCCAATAGAAACGGAATTTTACAGACGAACAACTTCCTTTGCTATTATCGACGGAACTATAACAAATTAATAACGGATTACTATTTTATTATTATTAAAAATTAAATACAAAATTAACAACAAAATTACCTGCAAAAGACTTTCGTTGATACAATTTTGTTACTAATCCAAGTAAAAATTTAAAAATAATAAATAATAAATTAAATAATTTAGCGACAAAAATTCTCAATGGATGATTTCGTTGGAAAAATATTAAAAATGGTAAAATAAATTACCCACAGAAAAAATATGTTGGTAAACATTGAAATTAAATTTTTAAAAGCATTATATAGTTACCAACGCAAAATTCCGTCGAAAAATTCAAAATGTTTCAATTCTCACTTAAAATTTGACTTGCCTCTAAAATTTTCATTTGCCTCTCAAATATTTCATCTCCTCCCAAAACACATTGTCGCCCTCCCTCTATATATTTCAGAAAATATTATAAAATTTAAATTTATAAAAGAATAGAAACTCCAAAAGGTAAATCAGATATTCAGATTACAAAAATAAAAATAATAAAAAATAGAACCCTTCACCCTCCGCCTCCCATCTCCTTTGTCGCCGCTCCTTGCAGAAGAATCAGATTACAAAAAATTGAAATGTTGCCATTCACGCCTCTATCAATTAATCTATTCTTCACTCCAGATTCTTCTCTCTTTTTTATTCTATACTATAGTATCTGGTCTGGTGGTTCATTCCTGTTGTATTAAGGAGCTTCTGCAATCAAGGGAGGAGGATGTCGTATCATATATGATATTGACAGATTACTCTGATTGGAAATGGATGAGAAGATAGGAAGAAAGGTTTTGGATGTTTGAAGATGTTGAGGAAGCGTTTTCTGTACAGGAGTATTGAGGGAGCTCATTAAGCTTATTAAGGTTCTTATCTTCTCTTTCTCAGTTTCCTCTTCCTTTTACCAATGACCAAATTTTATTTTTTATGAATAGATCCACAAGGAACCTTGAAGCTATTGCAATGTCTTTCCTTGTAGCAAACGCAATTGGTGCTCATATCAATGGCCGTTGACTTTCTGCTGCCATTCATATTAGCATCATTTGTTGCAAATTTTCACTTTCACGGCTTCTCAATACTTCGATTCTCTGAAGTTAATGTCAGCATTCTTCGGCCCAATCTATAAGGACCGACTAGAAGAGAATAGGGATCTGTTAGCTGTCAAAGTGCAGAGGCATTTTGTTCTTGAGACTAGCTGGAGATTTAAATTGTGCAATTAGGACTTTGTCTTCTCAAATTTCTGTAGACAGTAGGTAGTGATTGTTCATTCCTTTTTTTTTTTTTTTTGGGTTGTATATTATATTATCTATGGAAGAGGCGATTAACCATGTACAATGAATCTGTATCAAATATAATTTTGATTGGTAAATGAATGGGCTGCTTACTTCTTGGATGATCTTGATTATTTAGTGAGGGAGAAAATGGAACTTGAAATTAAGGAATGTTTACATTATTCTATTGGATTTCAGCTTTATTTGTTTTAAAAAAACTTTAATGTATGAAGTTTTTGAGAAAATAATTATTAAAATAAAATCATATATATTTTTAATAGTTTAATTCAAATTAGTGACGAAAATAGCGACAACAATTCGTTGGTAATCATTAACGGATAGAATCTGTAGGTAATTTGCGACGGAAAAACTTGTTGCTAAATTAGTGAAGGAAATAGCCGTTGGTAAACACCGACGGAAGAACTAAAATCGTCGACGACCTAGGTAGTCGCTAAAATTAGCGGCGGGGATATTACCAACAGATTTTCCGACCAATCAATTCCATTTGTGAAAGTCGTGGACGAACCTTATCACTATGCACAACTAAGAAATATATACTATTTCTTCGGTAAGAGTTTTAGCTTTTTGGTGAGAGATGAATTATAGATTTCGTCATGTCGAGTTGTGTTCAATCTTCCGTAGCAAACATGTTGTACATAATAATTACAAGATCTTCAAAGATTGCATGGGATCCCCCAGCCCCCACCTTTTAGGATCACAAGTATCCTTATTCAATTATTCCAAAATTTGCTTACCTTTTGCATGGTAGATTGCATGCATCCATGCAAAAAATGAGGAAATGCAGACGAATTTCGCAGCTTTATTAAAATTGACAATATTGACCAAGAATTTATTTATATATTCTTAGGTATTTTGAACATTAGTTCAGGTAACGTCATTCAACTCTTGTCTACATGGCCGAAAGTCATTTTTAGAATATGATTTTTCAGTCAACCCTTGCCCTTTCTCCCAAAAAATAAAATAGTATAAAATAATAAATCAGGAGAAACTCAAGTCCCTATTTGGTTCAGCCATAAAAGTTAATTAAAATTTAAGTTAAAGTCAACAATTAATTTTAGCCACATATTTTATGAGTTATATAACTTTTCAACAATATTTTTCATCAACTTTTATTAAAATCTGCCAAAAATATGATTTTTATTTAAACCAAACAAGGATTAATGAAATAAGTAACAAACACTCTAGCCACTCCTGCTTAACACCCTCTAGGTGTCTATGAGCAATAACAGGGCATGGATGAAATATTTTGTTGAATTGGACATGATTGGATACAATCGATTCAATGTATATATATGTACGTCAAAGGATTGTAAACAGTCAATCCTTTGAAAACGTGTTCTAATATTTATTTTCAAGATTTCCAAAATATTCATTTTCATTATCATTCCAATCAATCTTAGGGTCCATTTGATTACAAAAATGGAATTGAATTGGGTGGAAAACGAATTTCAGGAAATTGAATTGCCTAGAATTATTTTTATGGGAATTGTAAATTATTATTTTTGATTGGTATAATTTTTTACGTGAAAAATGTTAAAATAAAAGTATTTTTTGATGTTCGTTTGACTTTGTTTTACATGAAAATTGTCAATTAAAATGATATAATTTACTAGTATTGGGGATTCCATTAGTTTCCATTGCCAAAAAGCAAAAAATAAAATAAAATAAAATAAAAAATTCAAGAAAATCATCTATTTTTTAGTGTTTGTTTGACTTTGTTTTACATGAAAATTATCAATGAAAGAGAAATATTTTTTTATAATAATTCTTAAAATTAGTTTCCATTGCCTAAATAAAAAAAAAAAAAAAATTCCTACAGTAATCGGGAATTCCAATTCTCACCATATATGGTGAGAATTGGAATTCTACCAAATCAAGGAATAACACAACTTCCAATAAAAGCTAGAAACCAATTCCATGGAAAATCTTGTGAATCAAACACTACATTTTCCCATTTTCCACCCATTTCCATGGAATTGGGTGAATCAAACACTACCTTAGTTCACCAGTCAATTTTCCACCCATTTCCATGGAGTTGGGTGAATCAAACACTACTTTAGTTCATCAGTCAAGGAAAGTGTTTCGCCATACTAGTTTTAACAACGTGTTCTATCTCGAGAGACGAACACCTATTATCATGTGAGTACATGCAATGGCAAAATCGGTGTTAAGGATATTTATTATGTGTATACCTTATTTTATTCTGTTTATACATTTAAACAATTATTTAAAAAAAAAAAATTGCTAGAAGGATAGATTGGGCTATACTATGATTTTGAAGGGTATTATAGTGTCTTAATCCCTGGATTAAACCGTCAGATGAATTTGAACAGAACTCACTCAGTTCCTTCATCGGGCTCACAAAAACACAGCATGAGGACAAAACTGCAAAAGAAGCCAAATTCAACCTAATTAATCCCGTTCAGGCCGACGAAGAATCCCAGGAAAAAAAAAAAAAACAATTATTCAACAATTTGGAGCATAATGCCAATGAGACAAATCAGCCGAAAACCTGTTACAGGTTATAATCCTAAAGAAGACAGACTCTACTTTGTTTTAGTGTGAATAGTCATTTGTCTACTTTGTAATAACCCAAAAGATCCCAACAGTGAGCTTATTTTCAATGTCGGAATGTGAATCGATGCTTGTCTGTATGATATTGGCAGCCCTCTTTAATTATGTTGGGATAATATTGAGTATGAGAGATTTCATCTTAAAAGGTGAACAAGTAGTCTTATTGTTTTTATATTTAAAAGACGTGAGATTTTAACTTTAAAAGGGAGAATGAGCATGCCATACGTTCCAGTAGAATGTTACATGCACGAGCTTGAATCAATATAAAAATGTGTTAGATAAGTATAAAAGCAATGACAGAGCCTAATTTCACTAAAGTGAGGGCCACATAAATTATTTTTTATCACCGTGTTCGAGTTCAACTAAATATGTATAAGAATTCATAGTATACGGGCATAGTATCGACTGTGAAAAACATGCATAAAGAATTTGTTAGCTAAGTATGGATGGGAGGGAAATATAAAAATGGTAATTGGATCATTGCCGACAGACCGATAAAGATTACAAGATTCTTTTCAAATGATATAGTCGGTTCATGAGATAGATTTATAAAATTATATGGTGGAGTTGAGTATTTATTTTGTAGGGAGTTATATAACTAAATTACATTATGTAGCTTCTTTTAGCAGAATGTCGGACATTATTTCACTGAGCATGAAGCAGAATGTGAATTGGTCGTTTGTAATGCTTGAAAAAACTCGACGAATTAAATGGAAATTTGTGCGAAATCTGAGACGAAGCCTGAAAAGTGCAGCATCTCAGTCGATGTTCAAGAGACGAAGAGTGGAAAGAGGCGACGTAGATCTCCTCCAGTGGTAGCATTTCGCTACAACAATCAGCAGATAGAACAACAGCACCCTCAGGCAATTAGGGTTGATCAAACTGCAGCTGCTACAACTACGACAACGAAAAGAAGTTCAAGATTTCGAGGAGTTAGCAGGTTTAATATAAAGTTCTATCTGAACTTCAGTGATTTTCTTGTTCACATTATGCAAAATATTTTGCTTGGCCGACCCCAAATTTGATGGCAACGAGGCTTAGTTTGTTGTTGCTTGTTCTAAAAAGCTTAGGCTACTACCTTTTCCCCCCCCCTCAGGCATCGTTGGACCGGACGTTATGAAGCTCATCTGTGGGATAAAGGGACATGGAATGTTACTCAGAAAAAGAAAGGAAAGCAAGGTAGATAATTTTTTCGTAGCCTGGTCCAATCACTTCTAATATTGCATGATTAATTATTATAAATATTTCCTAATGAATTACTGTTTTGACATTTCATATGATCCTGTGCTGGCTATTACTTGGTTGGAGTAGTCTATCTTGGTGAGCATCTAATAGATTGCTCATTTACAAAAGTTGACCTTAAAGGATTACAAGTAACTGACAATTTGGTTCACTAATTAACTTATTAGGAGCTTATGATGAAGAAGAAGCTGCAGCAAGAGCATATGATTTGGCTGCTATCAAGTATTGGGGAACATCAACCTTCACAAATTTCCCGGTATTATTCACACATATCACACGTAAATCTCGCTAAAATTCCTCAACTTTGGCATCGCACTAAACACACACATTATATTTTGCCAGATATCTGATTACAACAAAGAGAGAGAGATAATGCAAAATGTCACTCGCGAGGAATACTTGGCCTCTTTACGAAGGTAAACATATAGCTCGAAAACTATAATATCAATGCAATAGTATTGTAAGCACTGATCAGACCAAAATATGTCTTCACTTGTGGAACTCTAATACAGAAGAAGCAGTGGTTTTGCAAGAGGTGTATCTAAGTATAGAGGCGTTGCAAGGTAGATATGTAACTAGCATGTTTCATCCTTCACGATTTTTCCTTTTCTTCTTTCTGATCAAGAATTAATTTGTAGTGGTTATGGTTTCAATTCATTCAACTTTAGGCATCATCACAATGGGAGGTGGGAAGCAAGAATAGGCCGTGTATTTGGCAACAAATATCTCTACCTTGGTACCTATAGTGAGTACACAAAATTTTTAACTTTAAGGTCGTTGTCTTAAAATGAAAAGTAAATTAATCTGGTTCACAATTTACTTACTTTGCAGGTACTCAAGAAGAAGCTGCACACGCATATGATATTGCCGCAATAGAGTACAGAGGGATTAATGCAGTTACTAACTTCGATTTGAGCACTTACATCAGATGGCTAAGACCTGATGCAAATTCAGTAGGATTTCAGGGTTTGATTTCGGAAAATGAGGCTCAACAATCGAACTATAACTACACAAATAATGCAAACAAGGAAACAAAATTCTCAACCCCGAATTCGTTTGCCATAAACAATCCGGTAATATCCCAAAAACACGAGATTATTGAAAGAAAAATGCCCCTAAGCCCTTGTAACAAGACATCTTCTCCAACTGCATTAGGTCTCCTCCACAGATCTTCCATGTTTAAAGACCTAGTGGAGAAGACTTCTTCTGCTTCTAATGAAGAAACAGAGAAAGACAAGACGGAGATCAAGTTACATACTGGTGGAGAAGAAGATAATTTTGTGTTTTACAACGGAAAGAATCATATTACAAATTATGCTTGTCCTTCAAATATGGAAAAGTTGCCAAGATTGGATCCCTTGGAGAATGATGCTTCGTCTTTGTATAATGGAGGAGGACAGCCTTTTTGGACTTAATGCCGCAAAATATTGAACAACATTTCGTCATTGTGTGATTGAAATAATATCAAAGGATCACAACTTTTACATTCCTCATCATAGTCCAAAGAACGCACAGGTTTAGATTCGGTCTCAGTAGTTTTTTTCTTCTTTTTTCATAAGCGAGTAGATTGGTGCTAACTGATCTACTTTGGTGTATACAGAATAAGGTATTTTTTCTGATGTACTTGTTAGATATGCGCTTGATAAGTTTCAGAAAATGATACAAGATTTTAATATTCACTGGATTAGATTGTCAGAAGGCATTAGTTCTTTTTTCTCTATGAAGCTTGAGGAATTTGCAATGCATGGTTGCACTCTACAAGAACTCAGAATCATTCACTTGTCCGAGTAATATCAAAATAAATCATTTTCCATTTTGGCATTAACTCGGAAAACAGATGGAAACGGTTGGGAAAAAAAAGGTTAAGTTTGAACGAAGAAATTTTATTCATTTATAAAGATAAAATAGGAATGATGAAGAAAGAATAAGGATGATGGGTTTGGACTTTAAACAACATAAAAGGGAAATTACCTCAAACCCTACTTTTTCAGTTTCAATTTCAAAAATCAAATATTAATTATTTTCATCCATAATCAAGTCTTAAGTATTAGAGCTTGTTTTGGTAGGGATTTTAAGCCAATTAAAGTCAATTTTTTCACCGTTATTTTACTATTTCAACCGTCATTTTTGAATTCTTCTTTCACATATAGGATCCACTTTATCTCTAACTGTTAAAAAATCAATTATCAAAATTCCTATCAAACAAGCTCTTATTTTCAAAACATATACAGAAGTGCTATGTGTATAGAAAATCTTAGCCAGAATTTTTACAAAATACACATGGTAGCATCAAGTTAAACAGTGGGAAAAAAAAGATCAACTAGATGCTGCCATGTTAGCATCTGGTGAAATTCTATTACTTCCGCTTCTGTACGAGCAAAAAAATTGAAACATATATACACCCCCAGTAACACCATACCCACCACAACCCCTCCTACAATCTCTCTCGACGGTGGCATAAACCTGACGCTCGAAAATGATCTGACACGGTCATTGCCCTAATGTTGGCGACTCGCCATCATATTGGTATGGCTTCTATAGTTCCGACAAAGTCTCTCTCTCTCTCGTGAGGATGAGTGATGCATACATCTTGGTATGGCTTCTATAGTTTGGCAAAGTCTAAGCAGCTGCATAGTTTCTCGTTGCCACGCTTGCAATGGAAGGACAAAAACTCACACAATGCCATCCCATAGCTCCACAACCTCCAAATTGCCATCATGCAAGATCCATCCCTCATCCGTCTCTCATCTTCAAGAATCCTAGCACAATTCTCCGTTACGAGCTTCAATTTGAACTGGTTGGCTTGCGTGTGAATTGGGTGATGGCGTGGTGGTTGTCGACGATTGTGTGGTCGGAGTGTAGAATGAAAGAGAAAAGCTGGGATGGGGTGAGTTGAGTTGAGGTGAAAAGAATAGTGACTACGATCAGTTAATTGTTAGAGACAAGGTTCAATAGTGAAAATTTATATGTGAATTGGGTGATGACATGATGGTTATCGATAGTAGTGCAAACGAGAACATGTAACTCTACCTGTGAATGGGAGACAAGAGGTTGGATGGAATGAGAAGAATAGCGACCATGACTAGTTTATTGTGTTGCTANCGTGTAAAAGGAGCACTCAGCATTCGTTTGAAGCTGTCCTGTATTTGAACGAGTTTCCGTTAGACTCAGGAAGAAGAAAGTGGGAAAGAAATCTGTGTATATGTAACCAAATCCATTTGGCAGCAAAATGAAAGAAAAGGAATGCAAACCCAGAAGCGAGAGAATGCAAAATCAAGGACGATCCAGTGCCGACCATTTCAAACAGAAGTGCTCTAACAGTACCTCATTAAGTTTCTTGGCGGGTCCTTTAACTTATCAGTGCCAACTTGTACATTCCCATCTGTTAATAGATTATTTCCTGAAGTTAAGGAATCCGCAATCTCCTTAAGACCCTATAAAAAAGAAGGGATTATTCTGTACATAAGTAAATTGGATACAAGGAAATCAAACAAAACGATTAAGAATTTGATTCCAGTACATAATGATTGATACTTCATTAAATAATGAATATTAAATGCAATGTCACCAAAATAAAATTGATCTTTGTAAATTAAGATTCTATCGTAATTGGCAGTCGTTCAGTTCTGCAATTTGCCTCTTTCTTCAATTCAAGGAAGATGATGATGTGAATAAACTTTCAAACAAGAAGATCTAATAATATGACTATTACATTTTGTTGTCTTCTTCATTCAACTTTTTGACACGTAAATATTTTGGGGTTGAGTAACAAAACCAATTAACTAGCATTTCGGAAGCACTTTACAAATATACCTTGCATTGCGATTCACAGTTATTTAAATCAAGAATTTTCCAAATTCCTCAAATTCAAGGAAAATGCTGATGAAATGAACTTCAAACTAGAAGCTTTAATAACATAGAGGATTACTTTTGTAGTGGTTGTCTTCTTCATTCAACTTTTTGACACGTAAATATTTTGGGGTTGAGTAACAAAACCAATTAACTAGCATTTCGGAAGCACTTTACAAATATACCTTGCATTGCGATTCACAGTTATTTAAATCAAGAATTTTCCAAATTCCTCAAATTCAAGGAAAATGCTGATGAAATGAACTTCAAACTAGAAGCTTTAATAACATAGAGGATTACTTTTGTAGTGCTTCTTTCTTCTTTTTTTCCACGTCAAAATGGAAGATGATGGTTGCATAACAAACCAGTTACCTAGAAATTTGGAAAATTTTGTCTCCATATTATTTACTCATAATAAATTTTCATTTTTTTGTAATAGGTAATCATTTGATTCAACAAATTGCCTCTTTCCTCGAATTCAAGCATGTATCAGGTAATAAACTTCAATCTACAAGATCTAATAACATAGAATTTTTAACTTTTTAGTCTTTTGCCTTTTTTGCATAGCAATTGGAATCACCTAGCTTTTTAGCAGCAGAGTTTTTAAGCACATTTATATCAACTACACTAAACAAGATCAATGAACTTTCAATCCACCAGTTGTTTCCATATGATTAGGCATAGCAGTATTAATGTGTTTCGTATATAAAAAGAAAGATTCGAACTATTATATATTATTTTTTCTTAAAAATTGATGTACTAGGGTATCTGAGTCAGAAGAGGTACCATCAGACTTGGTACTGAGTTTCCACCAATTTTAAATTGATCCTGCACAACAACAGAGAATAAAGAAGAAGTTTGAAAATGATAAGCAACAAAGCCTTCAATAATTGGATATGAAATTGATTAATATCCCCATTCTCAAGAACACGGTATTTTTTTCCTATACAAAATAGAATAATCAAACAGTATGAGGGGGAGAATACAATATTAGCCAAGAAAAAACATAAAATAGAACACGGTTATGCTTCCCACAATGTAGAACACATTACGGGAGATGCAAAAGGGCACTGACAGCCCCAACCCCAACTAACCCCAATTGAATGTAAAAAGCTTAGTCAATCCACATATGCAGGAAAATGTTTCAAATGAAAAAGGGACAAGATGTAATAAAAATGAATTTTAAAAGTAAAAGCATGAGACATAAGCAGCATCTAGAGAAGTGGTTAGCATTACTCTTGCTTGATAGTAACTAAGATACTAGATAAAACTTGAACATTCTTTTATTGAAGTTTTGACAACCAGAAGACCATACATAGCTAGGCACATTAAAAAGATCTTTAATTGAGGATTTCTTCTTTGACTTACAATCTATTGGTGATATTAATAATTTCAGCGACCAAATCAAGTATCCCAGTACAGTATTCTAAACGATACCAATGGAATTCTGTTAGGCCTCCCATCCATTTAACCTATTCTAGGATGAAGAATCAGCTGGAATGAAGGAATAACTGCACTGTTACAAGGGCAAGTGAGGGAAAATTAATCAGTTAGGGAGTCTATAAATAGATGTTGACAGAAAATGATAGGCAGACAAGTAGTTAAGTGAGAAGTGAGAACTTTAGGAGAGTCTTAGCCATCTCGAATGGCTATGTGTTTTCTTTACATCACAGTCATTTCCTTTTATCAATAAAGGGTTCCATTTTCCTTATTATTTCAGCTAGCATCCAGTGATTTATTTACTGCACAATCATTAATCTTCCACAAGTCCTTATTCTAACTTCTGGAACCTTATGAATTGGTACCAGAGCATGTTCGATCGGATGGCCGAGAAAAAGATATAAAGCAGGGTGGAAGCCACGGAGGAAGAGTTGGAAGAAGTAAAGTCCAAAATTCAGCACTTGTCAGGGATGGAGAAATCTGTGGAAAACATCACCCAAATTATGGCCAAAATTCTGCAGTCAATGAAGGATACCCAGAAGGTTGTTGCAGCCCTCATTAATCCTGAAGTGGTACTGAACAGAAAGGTCGATGAAGATGGTTCCAAAAGCATCACAGAAGGGCAGGTCCAATGGAATGCACGCAGGACTGATCACAGAATACTAGATAGAGGAAAATGTCTAGAAGGTTCAGAGAATGTTGCGATTTTGATCTACAGGGGCTTGACCGTGCAATCTGAAATTTGCAGAGAAGAACTGATGCTTGAGCCTAGATTGGGCCAGAAAATGGAGTTGGCACTTAGTGTGGAGGATAAACACGATACCTTCAAACAGACCCAAATTAGATTGGGTTCAATCCACTGTAAAGGGGTTGTGTTCAACTATAACCCAAATCTCAATAAAGTGGGTCCAATTCGAAGTAAACGCCCAGGCCCATTTTAAAACAGCCCACGTTCTGGTTATAACGTGGACATGACCCAGATCTCTTCAATCCCTAAGGCTAAATTGGTTTCTAATCTCTCCAGGAACCACAATCTACCATCTAAAATACAAAATTCATCCAAACTACTTTCTGGAACAATGATGCCAATGTTGCAAGAAAAACGATTGCGGAAGGAGAATCTGATAGATCCCCAACTCACGTAATAAACTAACAAGGGCAGTAAAGGAATTAACCAAGGAGAGGAAGGCACATGCAGCAAGGGCACGGTTATGCATTCTGTTAGGAGTAATGAGAGCAAAACCAATTATAAATAGAGGGATGGTGCTATGGGAAGGCAGGCAGAATTTTGGGTAGTCACTTAGGAGAGAATTGGCTCTCTCGAAAAGCCAAATACCGTTAGTTCTTTTTATTTTCTTGCATTCCAATTTCCGTATCTGCTCTTCT